TTTTTCTTTTCATTATAGGTATTATAACATGTATACATTATGTAAGCTAAAGGCCATAGATACCTTGAGAAAAAATTCATTCTTGGTGAGACATTAACCTTGTTGATTGTATAGCATCTTAAAAAGAGTTGTGAAAGGAAGATGTAGAAGAAATATATTCTTAACAGAATGTGGTGAAATGCAAACATAAGAGATGGAATGAATTTGTAACAAATGTATAGCCTGATTTTTCCAAGGAGGAATTTTGATATTGTGTGAAGTTTAGTTTCTAGGATTGTTCTAAAACCAAGACTGTGAATAACCCAATATGTGGATCCATAAGAAGATCCATAAGCATGGTCTCTGATCTCTGGCTAGTTCATGATGACAGACAAGAAGCTGAATTAACATTAGTAAACCATTTCTTCTGTGTCTAAGATCTTGACACTGATAATCCCTCCATTGTACACACTTGTGTCTTTGTGATGCAAAGGGCAGTGTCTATATAGACAATATCAAGATTGGGTAAAGATACTAGGGTAATTTTGGAAGTATCAGGAGCATGAACTTTGAGTTTTTAAGATAAATAGAAATATCTTTCTAGAATGATTGCCCCTAATCAATGTGGCATCATCGTAACAATAGTTATATAGAGTTTTAAGAACTCTAATCTCTCAAACAACAACGGGCATAAGTATGTATTTGAAAGGCAAGTTATGTCTTCACTTGACATTTCTTGGTTGATGAGCCAGAATTAGCATATTTGATTTTGCTTTTGTGTTAGAAATAAAAGTTCCAACTGGAGACATGAAGCTAAAGGAAGGTGGTGAAATGCGAAGAGATGTCCTGATGTGAGTTGGACATTTTTGGGATTGGAGAAGTAGAAATGTGATCATCATTTACCAGTAACATGGTATGCTAGATCCAGTAGCAGGGGGTAATTTACTTGTGTTCTTTTTTGTGTACAGTGAGAAAGAATAGTCAGTCTATTTCAATTGGATTGTGATATAGAGTTAAGCAGTAATTTCACATAGTTCATCCTAAAACATTTTAGGCAAACTGTGATGGCAATAAATGCCTATTTTTCCAAACCATATTTTTGTTCAAGGTTTTCTCCATTTATAGATAGAGAATTAAAATCTGTAATGCATATATACTAGACAGATAAACTTGTATTTATAAAATATGCTTTCCTATAATTGAGAAAAGAAAGACCTATGCTCATGATCCTTTAATGATCCTTTAATATTTTATTGCATACTAATGTTACATGACTATTATCTCAAAACATTTAATTAATTAAAATCTTATGGTTTATGTATTTAAGTGTAATCTTATGTGCTCCTTAATTCCTTTATGGATTAAGAAATTGGAATGTAAATACATCCATATATGCACTCTACAGTGAACTCTTTTGTTTCCAGATAATTTCCGAATTAGAATTAGGTTTAGAGTTAATGTTAATATATTTCAAAATAAATAATTTTAGGTATTTTCCTGGAAAATTCTAAGAGTATTTATGTTTCTATCTTTTGCATCAGTAGTTTCCAAATCAACAATAAAATTTAATGGCATTCTATGAAATAAAGTAGAGTTTAAAAAATCGCAGAACTTACTCTAATATTTAGTAAAACGAACCGAATTATCAGCACTTAACAACCCAGTAATATTCTAATGCATTAGACATCAAGATCATCATTTATGAGAAACAGAAGATCATAGTAAGCCTTGCTGAAGCTCCTAATCCTAGATCTAGCTCCTGAATTGATGATACCAATAGTATTTTAAAAATTAGGACTTAAAAATGCACTTAATAAAAATCATTTGATTGGAATGTGTGTGAGAGAGGGAAATAAACTACTAGTACTGACTTTTTAAGTTGGAAATACGGCAAACATTGAGTGTCCTCCCTTTTGGGAATCAATACATTGACCCCTTTGTCTAAAAAATCCTACACATAGGGCTTTGAATAGATCGTTTTACATAGACTAGTTCCACTGAAAAGAGCTGCACAAAATTGCATTTGAGTTTACCATCTCTTCTACCTCCTGAATTTCAGATTTCAGTAATATAAACAGAATATGATAACTATCGTTTGAGTTTTGTCTCTTAATAAAAATAATTGAATCTGAGATAACCTGCAAACAAGTTTAATATAAGGCACCTATACAAATTCAGAGCAAATACTGAGAAAGCTAGATTAAAAAATATACAATATTGGGGGAAAACATAAAAATGATGGATTTATTATTTTTTTAAATTTTTTTTAATGTTTTATTTATTTCTAGGAGACAGAGAGAGAGAGAGAGACAGCGTGAGCAGGGGAGGGTCAGAGAGAGAGGGAGTCACAGACTGAAACAGGCTCCAGGCTCTAAACTGACAGTCAGCACAGAGCCAGACGAGGGGCACAAACCCAAGAACAGAGAGATCATGACCAAAGAGAAAGTCGGACGCTTAACCGACTAAGCCACCCAGGCGCCCCAAAAATGATGGATTTAGAATGTATTTAGGCATAATATATAGAAGGAGAGTTGAATTATAATAAGAATGCAATTTTATCAATAAAAGATTAAAACATCAAGTTATAAAACAAAAAGTGATAAAGGCTAGAGGTGAGCTGCTTAAATGAATTGTTAAAAATACTTCTTTAAAAGATTAATAATGAAATTAGAAACAATTTTTAATGGCAAAAAAGTAAATTTACTAATTATGGATTGCTTGAGGAAATCTCAATGAATGAAAAAAAAGTAAAAAAAAGATTAAGACACTTAGAAAATAATAGAGAAAGAAAACAAACCAAAATATTTTAACATAGAGAACATTGAAATTTGAAGTCTCTGAAATAGAGATAAAAAAATGGAACAAACAAACACTCTAATAAATAACAAACAAAATTTATGAGAAAAAAATTAATATATTTTTTATTCTGGATTAACAGTATTGAAAGGGCATACTATAACCCAAGAAGAATGTAGAAAATAACTGATAATGGTACATGACTAATTAGGTTTCTGAATTTTAAAAAAATGATTTATTTTCCAGACTGAAAAGAAACAACCAAAAATAATTAGACAGGCTTCAAGTTTTTACAGAAAAATTTAAAGCCAGAAGACCATGAGTAAATATTTACACAGTTCTAGAGAGAGAGCTAAATATATTATAGTCAGATAGGTGTCATATATCAAGACATTCAGCAAATATTGCTAAACATGTTCTCAGGGAATGCATATAATATATATTCAGTTAAAAATGAATCCAAAATATTTTGGAGTAAAGAATCTCTGAATTAATGGCAAACACCGATTCCGTTAAGATACAACCAAAAGAGTAAATATGAGGAAAATAAGTGGCATAAATATTGACAAATTAAAAAAGAATGTGGGGGGGGGAGAAAGAGATCATGAGTGGGGGTACATGCACGGCCGGGCATAGGACTTGATCCAGAAATGTGACACCATGACCTAAGCTGAAATCAAGAATCAGGTGCTCAACTGACTGCGCCATTTAGGCATGCCAACAAATTAAAATTTTAAGTAATACATATTAGAGATGAGATTATTTCTATAGCAGGAGTTCAAATGTTGCTAAAATTAAAAATACATAGTTAAAAATAAAGACTTAAAACCATATTCATGTATTAATTCTTAATCTTGGTGAGATCTTTCAGAGAAAAAAGTTAAGATATGATATATACCTAAAGTTAAATATAGTCTATAGATTAATTTCAATTAATCTTTACCTAAATTGAGTAAAATTCTAAATTTTGTTTGAAAATCCACACATAGTAATAACCAATATTTACAAAATTATTGCCTACTCTGTATTTCTCCTCCCTGTGTATATGCATATACTGATGAATGGCATATAGTTGGTGTTAATGATGGTTATTTTTGAATGATAGTGTTAATTATCACTTCCAGTTTTGTACTTACTGAATGATTATACTATTTAAATAAGCATATATATGTGTGTCTATACATATAAGCAGATTATTAAAAATATCTGAGAATTTACATAATTGTGAAAATTATTGATTTTGAAAAAACATTGATAAAATATTTGAAGTATTAGTCTTTTTTTGGCAATTTCAGCCAATTTCTTCAGTGTGTAGGAAATGAAATAATAAAGTGGTTCTTATATTGGTAACTTATGGTTGTTATTTGAAAATAAATCGGTTACAAAGGCATGAGACATTGGACATTTTTTCAAGTATGATGGACAATATAACCGATGGTATATTTAAGATGGTAAGACTTTAAAAGCAGTAGTACTTACGAAGGGTCATTAATGACTGTTCTCAAGGCATTGAACAGATCTTCACTTGTCATTGTGTTTATGTTCACCTCCACGGCTGCTCCTTTGGCCTTCATGTGAGCGATATTATCAGGCTGATCGGCAAACATGGGAACTCCCACCATAGGAACCCCATGATAAATAGCTTCATAGATCCCATTGGTTCCACCGTGAGTGATAAAAGCTTTTGTTTTGGGATGACCTAGTTTGGGAATTGGGTGAGAAGTGGGTGAGGATTATTATGACATATCATTATGTCATATCATTATGACAGGTTAACAGAATTTCAGGATGAGTTGGGGAAAACTACAGGGTAAGTCAATGAAGAAAGCAGTATTTTCTACAAAAGCAGAGCACATGGGCTATTGCTTTCTTAGAAAACAATGATCACAGAAAAGAAGGAATTAGTTCCCTCTGCATTGTCTGGAAAGAATTTTTTCAGGAAGTAACAGTGAACTGTGTAACAGTAACAGTGAACTGAGATGGAAACTTGAAGAGTAATGAGAGTCTTAACTGAAAATGCTCTTTTGTGAACCAAAGAAAGCACTGAATCTATACAATTAATAGCCAATTCTCAAATTATTTCTGCTTTACAACTGAAAGTAAAGTGTGACATTTTTTTCTAGCTTTATTTTTTAAATTTATTTTTAAAGTTATATTTAAAATTCTAGTATGGCTAACATACAGTGTTATATTCATTTCAGGTATACAACATAGCGATTCAACAATTCCATACTTCACCCAGTGCTCATCACCACAACTGCACTCCTTAATCCCCATGACTTGTTTGATCAACCCCCTCCACCACCTCCCTTCTGGTAATGATTCATTTGTTCTCTGTAGTTAAGAGCCTGTTTCTTGGTTTGTCTCTCTTTTATTTTTCCTTTGCTCATTTCTTTTGTTGTTGTTTCTTAAATTCCTTATATGTGTGAAGTTGTATGGTATTTGTCTTTCTCTGACTTATTTCTCCTAGGATTACACTCTCTAGATCCACCCATATCTTTGCATATGGCAAGATTTCATTTTTTAATGGCTAAATAATATTCCATTGTATATATATTCCACACCATTATCCATTCATCCATCAATTACACTTGGGCTGCTTTCATATCTTGAGTATTGTAAATAATGCTGCTATAAATATAGGGGTTCGTGTATCTCTTTGAATTATTTTTTTTATATTCTTATAAAATAAGAATATTTTATATTCTTATAAAATGTGATGTGATTACTGAGTCATCTGGTAGTTCTATTTTTTTTTTAATTTTTGAGGAACCTCCATACTGTTTTCCAGAGTGGCGGCACCCGTTTGCATACTCCCTAACAATGCAAGAGAGTTCCTTTTCCTCCACATCCTTGCCAACACTTGTATTTTGTGTTTCTGATTTTAGCCTAAAATGCGACCTTTTAAATTTTTAAATACTTATTAAATTTGTTTGTTGTTAAATGGTTATTTTACTTGTCCACTTCCAATTGTACAGCTTTTTCCCCTTCAGTCTTACCAAGAAGATCATTCTGGGGTATCCAATCATAGAGCCGAGTATTGGCTCCTAATGTGGCTGGTTTCTTTCCTTTGTATCTCCATAAAACCTGTGGAAGACAGTGCTTTAATTTTGCAAGTGAAAACACACAATGAAGTCATCCTAAAGCTATAGAGTTTTCTGTAAGTCATGTAACCCACCACTACTTTATGTGATAGAGAAGTGGACGTAAGGGATAGTTTGCAAACATGGAGGTATAGTAGGACTGCTTACATCAAGGCTGTCAAAAAGGTTGTACTGACAATCTATTAAATACAGTTTTATCATTTTTATATTTGTCACTCTAAAGTTTTGAGGTGTGAGATTGTAAGTGAAGGGATAGAAAAATAAAAGAATAATCAACCAGAGCACAGAGGTTTAAAAAACATTAAAATAAACGTGAATATTCTGCAAATTATTTATGTCATAAGGCCATCCTAACTCTCATGTTTCAAATGCAGTGTTTTCCAGAAATATAATTAGCTTTACATTTTTATTGTCTGGTTTTTGAATGATAGTCTTTCCTTCTTCCCTGTCTCCCTCCCTCTGCTCCCTTCTCTTTTCCTTCCTTCCTTCCTTCCTTCCTTCCTTCCTTCCTTCCTTCCTTCCTTCCTTCCTCCCTCCCTCCCTCCCTCCCTCCCTTCCTTCCTTCTTTCATTCCTTCCTTCCTCTCTTTCTTGCACTCTTTCCTTCTAAAGTTTGAAGGAGGAAGAGAAAGAGGTTGTTTTATTTAATTATTTAATAAAGTATCTCGTTGGAATGTTAATCTTTTGTTACATACTTTTAGGGATGAGCTCCTTATGACTAACTTCAGATTCAATATTAATGTGGCAAACTGTTTTTTTTTTATTTTTATTTTGTTCAACAATTCCATAACTCACTGTGCTCATCATGACAAGTGAATTCCTTAATCCCCAACACCTACTTAACCCATCCCCCGCAATTCCTCTCCTCTGGTAACCATTAATTTGTTCTTTATAATTAAGAGTCTGTTTCTTGGTTTGCCTATCTCTCCCCCCCTCTCCCAGCCTCCTTTGTTTTGTTTCTTAAAATTCCACATATGAAATCATTTGGCATTTGTCTTTCTTTGACTTATTTTGCTTAGCATTATACTCTCTAGCTCCATCCATGTCTTTGCAAATAGCAAGAATTCATGTGGTATAGATAAAGCAGATCTATACCACATCTGCTTTATCTATATCCATTGATGGACATTTGGGCCCTTCATTATTTGGCTATTGTAGATAATGCTGCCATAACATCAGGTGCATGTATCCCTTTGAAATCAATAGTATTGTATTCCTTGGGTAAATACCTAGCAGTGCAATTGCTGGATCATAGAGTAGTTCTATTTTTAACTTTTTGAGGAACCTCCATACTGTTTTCCACAGTGGCTGTACCAGTTTGCATTCCCAACAGTGCAAGAGAATTCCTTTTTCTCCACATTCTCAGGTGGAAAAATTAAGGCAGAAAAGATTAGAAATAAAAATTCAAATATTTAACAAGCCTCATTAGTACACTCACTGTTATATAGTTTTATATACTTTAACTAACATGCCAGTACAAAGAGTTCTAGGGTATTTAATAAATAGGAATATAGAAAGAGTATCAATCTAGAACTAAAACGACAACACAATTAAAGTTAACTGAATATCATAAATCAGAAAACACATATTGTTTGATAATAATATTAGGATTTTTAATTATATTTATCTGTAAAAATTTCAGTTTAGAAAGATGATGCTCCTATTTCTAAACCAACTAGATCTTGATATAATCTTAATAAAACCTAGAGATGTAAAGTATATCCTTGAGTATGATTTCTTGTCTACTTTACGTATAACCTTTCTCTTTTCCTGGACCTTGGAGTTAACACTCTTGAGAATTTGAAGAGCAGTCAGTGCAAGTCCTAAGATTTCAAAAGGTTATTGGGATCTTACTATTTTAATCTCTATTTCATTGAAAATAAGTGATTGTATAAAAAGATGTATTTCCATAGTAATGCAAAAGTTTACTAACGAAGTGATCAAATGTGCCCCAATACACCATTTTAAGATTTTGAAAATTTTTACTTAAAGATGGTACCAGTTATGCTCAGTGTTTCAACTTTGATCTAGAAAAGAACTTTTAGCCACATTTTATCTCCATTTGACAGAGTAGATATTCACCAGGATTCAATGATGTACTAACCTTCTGTGGAATATGGGCCAGGGCCGAGGCAATGAGATTGGCTTTTTCATCTGTGAGGTTTTTGACCATAGACCCCAGAGAAAACACCACAATACCATCATCACCTGAACTTTGGACAAATTCTTCCATTTCCTATAGAGATAAAATTCTCTTTTTGTAAGTATGCAGCATCATAAAGAGAGAAAAGATTTTATTTATGCATGACATGTCTTAAAAAGTGTACTGTGTCAGTTTAATGTTTTTTCTTTTAATTTTTAATTTTATTTATTTCTGAGAGAGAGAGAACTTGAGCAAGGGAGGGTCAGAAATAGAGGGAGACACAGAATCTGAAGCAGGCTCCAGGCTCTGAGCTAGTTGTCAGCACAGAGCCCGATGTGGGGCTCGACCTCACGAATAGTGAGATCATGACTTGAGCCAAAGTCGACACTTAACCGACTGAGCCGCCTGGGTGCCCCATAATGTGTCAGTTAAGATCCAGTCAATCTAACTCCCTGTTAGCCATTCAGATATTTTTCTCATGTTTATTCTTTTCCTGATTAATAGGACTACAAATGAATTTTTTAGAATTGCAATACATAATAATATATTTTAAGGGTAAATTTCTGCTATTTTCTTATCATGATAACATTTATGAGAGTACTTGTCTTCCCACAGGTAGCTGACATGCCCTTAACTTGAGCCTTAAGCACACTGGTACATATAAATTTCTCTACAAATAAAATTTTCTGGGTCACTACTTACAGTTATGCAAGTTGGGCCTTGCACAGTCTGGGATTGTGGTATTTTGCATTGTAATCTATGTGGATGTCAACTTTTAGAGAACTGTCATGCATTCTCTGTGCAACTATTGTGGCTACCCTGTACTATTTCTCAATATATTTATTAAATTTCTCAATTATATTTATTTTTCTATTTATTTCTCAATTTAAAGGTAGTAAAATTACTAGGGAAAGAATGATGCCATAAATGAAAGTAGACTGCTATTTAGGTTAGTTAATGTTAGGAGAATATCTCTGAAGTCCCAGGAATTAGTATTTTGACATTTTGATTCATCTCCCTAAGAGACAGTGTTTGAATAAACACACACACACACACATGCACATGAAGACTTACACATCTAGCAGCTAGACTTGGATTCTTGGTTTGGCTGTCTTTCATTGTTTTTTTATTTTCTATGTATTCAGTGACTGGGATATTTTTTCATCAGAGATATAAGCTGTTCATATTGTCCAAATGTTTGTATAAGTAATTGGGTTTGGAATGGAATAATTTTTCCCCATTTCGAAAAACAGGTCTGAGTTGTTTTGTGAAGTTTTATGTGTGTGTGAAAAGTGAGGATGGGAGGCTAAATAGTATGGCATGGGGTTTTATCTAGTGAGCCAAAGAATATGTCATGTCTCTTTCTGTAACTTTGTTTAGATATTGGCTTATTATCTGCTATAATAACACTCAATAGAGCTTAACCTCCAGTTATATCTTGAGTGGTAAGAAAAGTATATTCAGAATCCCAACATAAAATTTAAACTTAAATGTGCATTTCACTCTAAATAGAAATTGAGAATTCTCCCGAGAGCACTATTTAACCTGCAATCATCTTAGAGATTATGTTTGTTTATCTGCAACACAAGCAAAGGAGTGTCTGCCTCTTCAATTCCTCCATAAAGATAGTTACTGATAAAGAGAGTTAAATACAATATTCTTATCATGTTTATTTATTATTCTCTCTTACTGCTCAATATTGTTTTCTTCCAACATTTTTGGCTATCGATATTTATTTTTTGATGACTTTGGAATGTGGTGTACAATTTTCCTTTTTACTTTGGAGAAACCTGACATCATGGTATTAAAGAACAAATTCAGTGATTGGGTGTCTCAGTTCTATGACTTCTTTATTTTGCTTAATCTATTCCTAATGCTGTCTGCTGAAATCTAGACCTTGTATTACCTGAATGATTCCTAGAAATTTTCATCTGCAAAATTCCTTTGGCTCCTTAAAGTAAACAGGTCTAAAACTGAATCCATCTTTATCATCTCAAAAAGTTTTTCCATGAATTATTTTCTGTCTTGGTAAAGGTCACTGTTACCCAAGAATTACTAACCAATGCCAT